ATATTCTTTGTCTATAACAGCAAAGAAGCATAAATTGAAATCACGCTATATAGATATAATCTATACTTCTCCTTATCTACGATAATGGTAATTGTGAAAACTTTCAGATTTGACTGACGAACAGTAAGTCTTACTCTCGATAGAATATTTTTTTCCTTTAAAACTTGTACTCAAAAACAAGAGACTTCTCCGTTGGACTTACCTTCCAAAACATTTTTATAAAGTTATTTCTAAAATCAACATTACGATAAAGGTCTGTCTTCTTTAGGACCTAGAAGATCCATTCGCTTGAAACCAGGTTGATTCAGTGATCTCCGAAGTCGGTTGTTTACAGTCTATAGTTTAAATACTTCTGGATGAGTGGGAAGATTGATTGACACGTTTTCTACAGATTATCAATCCATTAAAGATTATTTAAAGCCAAAAAATATTTTAAGATTAAAAGACTTGGAGGGTGAGATAAGAGCGATTTATTGATAAAGTCTTACAAATTAACCCATAGCTGGGGATAGAAGATGTAGATTCATACCATTCCTAACAGTGTTTGTGTATACGTGAATATAACGAACCCAACTGAAACTGGAACTCGGCTCTACGATTAACAACTATCAAGTAGTTATCCATTACACCAATCGCAAATACAAGCTTATAGTACATGGTATTCCAAAGCGGTCAGCCATCTTGACCTTGAACAGTTTCGGCGTATCGTAACTTCGCTAACCGTGCGGGATGCTGGCCAATTTTCTTATAGATGAAGATGAGAATTGCTGCAACGAAGGGGGTGTTCCAGAACAGGATGCTGAGAATATGATGGGCAGAATATATGAGCAACGAATAGGCTTTAAGAAAAATAGCGAAAGAAAATGACGCATACTTAGAATCAGAAGAAGACAATTGAAATTTATTGAAGCCATAATAAGGCAAAAGAGGGCTAGGAGAATTTTATACCGACAGGAATATTGAAAGCAAGATAAGCAGAGCGACACATAGAGTAACCAAAAATTTCCAGTAATTACTCTTTACTCCAATCGCACATCCAAGCTTACAGCACCTCGTATTCCGAAGCGATCACACATCTAAGTTTAACGCGATATGGCCTTAGGCTCGAGTGGGTTGAAATGGATGTCATCCACTTGAGACTTCACATATGAAGACGTTATTTAAGAACATTACTCAAGTTCTCAGGTAAATATTTTTGTTTTTGTAATATATTACAGTGCTGAACCTAAATACCTCTAGCACAAACTATCAATCTTTAATAATATTTTTATAACTGATCTATGCACTGAGTTATTTGATGTGGATAAAGATGAACACCCACAACATTGCCACCGTGTTATTGTAATTCTGCGAAATTTTCCAGCTGAAACATTCGATGTTGGTCAAATATTATTATAGCTTTTCTTGACTTAATCAAATGTAAAGAAGATATAATTTTTCTTTTGTTTTTCTTTTTTATTTGAGAATCCCTAATTTAGATGATGAATGCGCGTTCAAACATGTTTCTGTAATTCAGTAACAATTAAACAATGTAGTTTATCTACAACACTTGTATATCGTTATAATGGGGCCTCACATCAGTGAGGGGGGCCGGTGTGCAACTGAAACCGTTGAGAGGAAGGCCCCGAAACGATGCACATTCTCTCCTGATGACCCCAGTTTAAAATTCGATAGGAACACATCAAAATTTAGTGAAATCAAATGCCGTAGAGAAGCTCGGTGGAAGTGTCATTGGCATGAGGAGCATTATAGATTCAGCTCGCTTCAGGTGAGTTTCAATTACTTTCCAGTAATTTCCTTCTTCCGTTAATTAAACGCTACAAGGCAACGTCTTTGAAATGTTACAAAGTAATGATTTTGCAATCTCCATATTACGCTGTTTAAAAAGTTTTAGCAAACAACTGAAACAAAAATTGCATCTCTGAAGAAAAAAAACGTCAACTCTCTGGAACCGCTAACAGGATAAATGTACTTTAAGTGGCTCAGACATAATAATTTGATTAAAGTAAGACGGTTCACAGGATGATATAGATCTGATTTCAACAAAACAGAAAGTTCAGCAGACAATGATAAAAATTATGTCCCTTATGTTCTGGGATGTGAATAGTATGCTGCCCCGAGGACTTCTAATCGAATGGTCACACAGTTAATGATGTCCATATCGTTAATGATGATCAAAGCGAAAAGTTAATTAGAAATAATACCGTTTCGCGAAACGTGATATCGTAGAGATATTCCATATGCCATATCTGAGATTTGAAAGGCTATTGAAAACACTTGTAATACGCCAATCACTAAGAATGTTTGTCTACCTCACAGTTTGACAGAAAAAAAAATTAATGGGACACCTTTCCATCTTCGATCCTCTGCTCAAACGCAACAGAAACGAACCATGTATTAAAATTTAAATCAATGTGTAAACAGCAAAATAATATATATACCATTTATGGAGATGGTGCCACAGCGAAGTTTACTATTAACAAGGGGTTCAGATGTTGAAATATTGATCTGGAAAACTATGAAGATTCCAGAAATCACGCAGTTGTTGATAACCAAATTGAAATGTTGATCAAGAATAATCCTTGTTACACCACAGAGACACACACACAATTATGGGACAATACAAATATACTTCACATATTTCATAACACATAGGATCATTGTATATTGTAAGGTATTTGACATGTGAATTGCTACAAAAATTTGATGCCTCACAATTAAACAGAAAAATATTTAATGAACTGAATTTCAATCTGATTATCTGCTCAAATGCAATAGAAATGAACCTGTTTTAAAAGAATGATGAGAGGTGATGAAAAATGGATTGTTTACAACAATGGGGAGTGAAACAAAGGTCCTGAAGAAAAAGAAAAATTTGTATGTATCTGAAGAAGGTGAAGCTGTGTATCTGGTGGTATTGAAAGGACAGTGTGTTATGAGCTTCTTTTTACAAAATCAAATATTGAATTCAGACAGTACTCTAACCAGTTAGACTTATTAAAGGCAACGCTCAGTGGCAAGCATTGAGAATTAGCCAATCGGAAGGGTGGCATCTTTCATCAATAAAACACCGGAGTTAGTTTACTGTTGACAAGTGTTTTAAGAGGTTCAGATGTTGAAATATTGACCTGGAAAAACCAAGAACATTCCAGCAGTCCTGCAGTTGTTGATAATAAACAAATAGAAATGTTGATTAAGAATAATCCTTATTACACACACACACACACGCGCGGGACAATGCAGAGATAGTTTACATACCACATAGAATCATTGTAAATTGTAAGACATTTGAAACACTCGGATGATATGTGAATTGCTACAATAATTAGATGACTCACAATTAAACAGAAAATATTTAATTGACTGGATTTCAATCTCCGATTCTCTGCTCAAATGCAATAGAAATGAACCAGTTTTAAAAGAATTATGATAAGCAATGAAAAGCTGATTGTTGACAACAATGTGGAGTGAAACAAAGGACCTGGAGAAAATCAAATGAAAATGAGCCACCATTAACCACTAGAAAATCTTGTCTGCATCCAAAGAAGGGGAAACTGTGTATATGGTAGGACCGAAAGGACATTATTTGTTATGAGATCCTTTCAAAAAATGAAATGCTGAATTCAGACAAGTACTCTACCAAGTTAGTCTGAGTAAAAGCAGCGCTCAATGAAAAAGCATTCAGAATTGGCCAACCGGAAGGATTTGTATGTATCTTTCATCAATAAAACACCAGACTTCCCACCTTTTGTCAGAACATGCAGAAATTGTCACAGCTTAACTGAAATATCCTTCTACACCCTCCATAATCACCCGAATTTGCAGCTGCGCATCACCACTTTTGTCTACAAAATTCTCTTATAGGGAAGAACATCTGTTCAATGTAAACATCATTTAGATCAGTTCATTAAAGAGAAAAATGCCAAGATCTGTAAGGTGGAAATCACGAAAGTGCAAAAGAGATAATGATGGGAAGTGAAACAAAATGGAACATAGGCAGTTGAATAATTCTTTGTACGGATATCTAAATATTGTTTTTGAAATTCATATAAGAAAACTGGAAACATTTGTTTAGACACAACATTTACGGAAACAGAAAAAATATCTTAATTGGACAAGATCGACTCTTATTTTTTGACAATATCAGAAGCAAGAGGATTCTTTTATTAAGTGCTACTCTTATATATATACACAGACATGACAGAATTGAATAGACACCAATGTAAATTTTATTTCTGATTTTTTTAATAAGCAAGATAAATTAACTTAATTTTTTTAATAACCAAGATAAATTAACTTAGACTACTTGATTAAAATTGCAGATTTCCACGCATTCCGACCTAGACTTCTAACCAAAAACATTTTTTTTTTTTGAAGAACGACTTAGACTCACGCCACCAAAACAAGTTTTAATGAATATCGCCTGAAGATACCAAAAAGCAGATTATTGAAAAACAACTTAAGATATTAAGATTCGCCTAAGAAACGCAAAGTGTCACGAATCCATAGAAGCGGTTTGGGAGAAAGATTCAGTCCTGTATTCAGCAAACAGATATAAAGATACTTGTTATTTTTTCAACACATTTGAATCTTTTGAGTTGTTTCATTATTTTCTTTTACATACACTTGTGCGGCAGATTCCTGAAACACTTTGGGAAAAACTCAAAACTGGCATTCTGTAGACATCTGTAGATGTCCTTGGTTTCTCCTCAAGAAAGAACAAAGTCTGTTTTGTTGAGACAGTGTGGAAATCTAATAACTGCTGGTGAGGAAGAGATCAACTCATCAAGCTCAATTAGCTCAGCCATCTTGTCCTCTAAAGAAAGCTGTGTTCCGTTTCGTATGCCAAGACCACCAGCGCAGACTTCGAGAGATTAAGAATAAGTGGTGAACCAAACTTTCTGAAAAAAAATCAGCTCTATGCAGACATTGGAGACATCAGGGGCTTCTATGAAGGTTTAAAGGCAGTACACGACCCTATGTATCAAGTCCAGAGTCCTATGCGCAGTGCAGACGGTCAGATGCTCCTTGCAAACAAGTCGTCCATCCTAAACCGTTGGTCGGAGCATTTCCAGCCCATCCTCCGTGCTAATCGCTCGATCCAGGAACCAGAAATTCTCCGCATACCCCAACGACCTGTAAAAATGGAACTGGATGAATTTCCCACCATTGAAGAAACTATCAATAATAAGCAGATGTCGTTTGAAATCCGAGGAGATATGACATGTTTTCCGAGGCTCCTGGAAATGTATAACGGGTTTCATCGCAAATATTTTTTCTAATGAATTTTAGTATAAATATTTTTTAATGAATTTTATTTAATTATTTATTTCCCTTTTGATATTATTTTAATTTTTTTCGTAATCTTTTTTGTTTATTGTGTTTTATGTAGTTTCATTTTCAGGAATACTTCAATATTAATAAATATAACTTAACGTAAATATTCAACTGATTTTAATTTGATCTATATGACTATAAAACTTAAACTATGTAATTTCTTTCTATTAACAAAACTGCAATGAAACGGAGTATATTTAAAAAACGAATTTGATGTATATGTATATATTGATTTGCTCATTACCGCATTTTATATTTTAAATTTATGATATTTTGCTTTTAAAGATATGTTATTAACTTATTATAGCATTCAAAAGTGATCTATGTCTTATTAAGATGGTCAATGGTATTGCGGTTACTATTATTGCTGTTATTTTGTTATTGATCTGAATATTATATAATTGGTATTTACTGGTATAATTTCATTGTTATTGTTTTTTTTACACAAATCTAGATTTATTTGATTTTTACCTTCTGTTTGGCTTTTTATTGCTTTCCCTTAACGGCGTCTTTGTTTGAATTCCAAAAGCGTCTCCTCGTAGCAGTCATTGAAGCAAAGCTACAAGACAGATACTGCTGACAGGAAGAAGGAATGAAGTAGAATGCAATAATAATAATAATAATAATAAACCAAATACAGAAACAATGGCTTCATGTCCAATACTCTGCCCGTAACAAAAAAAGCTGACGTAGACAAAACCCGTACCCATCAGTGGCCACGTAGTGCAGGCTTGAAAGCTGAAACTGAAGGTTTTATCCTTGCTGCACAGGATTTTTAACGAGGAATTATCAAGCACATATACTAAAATATTGGGTTAGCCCAAAATGCAGATTCTGTGATAAATATCCAGAAACAATTGATCATCTTGTATCAGTTTGCACGATATTGGCACCCACTGAGTATAAAACCCGACATGACAGAGTGGGCCAATATCTGCATTGGAAAATATGCAATTTCTACGGGAAGGAAACTGAAAGAAACTGGTAGGAACACCACCCAAACCCGGTTACAATTCTATGGTACTGCACAATACACACTGACAGAAAAATCAAAGCCAACCGTCTAGATATTGTTATTAAAGACCACAAACAAAATAAGTACCTCCTTATTGATAAGGTAGCCCTGCTGACTGCAATGTATCTTTGAAGATATTCAAAAAGCTGTCAAAATACATGGACCTTAAAATCTCAAAAATGTGGCATATGGGAACATCAACAATCCCTGTTGTAGCTGGAGCCCTAGGATTGGCTGGAAAAGATTCCAGTAGACTAATTGACTCAAAGAGATACAAAAAATTGTTCTCACAAGTACAGCCTACACTTTACGAAGGGCTTTATCTATGTATTTTTTTTTTTGTCAGTGGAAAGTGTCATGATGCCATTTCTAATCTTATACACAAATACAGACAATGTTATTCGTATGTCAGATGACAAAATGCCAAAACAATTAATGTATGCAGAATTGGAAATGGGAAAAAGACCGCAGCACAAGTCAAAACTTCGTTACAGGTATTGCCTTAAAGAGTCACCATACAAATGGAATATTGGTCTGGATAACTGGGAGATTCTAGCTGAAGACCGGGTTTCTTGGAAAGCTGGTATTGCTGATAGCGTTAACATCTCCCAGGAGACATCACAAAGATATTCAGAACTGAAGAGAGGTTCGGAAGGGATTCCTGAAATGCCATGAGATGCTAACCTGGCCATGTGCCGAATGCAAACGGATATGTCTGTCCAGGGCGGGTTTGTTCAGTCTTCCTGAAAACCATACCCAAGCTTTGTGAGTGAAATTGGGTAGAAGAAACCCTTGGAGCCGTCGATAGCTGTGCTAGCACGAAGTCACAAGTCATCGGGGCCGAGGGCTTGAGCGTGCTGGCCTTCTTCAAATTGTCGAATACAAATAACACGCTCTTTCCCAGAAACTCTAACTAAGATCTGCTCAGCATAGTCGCAGTATAAACCACAAGTGTTATGGTTCAAGTTCCTTGTACCACGGTGATGGTCCAAGATTAGAACCAATGAACGAATAACACGAACACAGGTATGGAATACAAAGATATATTACAACAGAAATATAATACAATGAAGTAGAAGTATTAGTAATGACTATCAGATTTTGGTTAGAGTGAACTATGTTGTCTTGACAAGTATCACTATTCCAATGTCCTTACAATATGCTCTCAATTATCTCTCCTCGTCTTACAACATCCTCATACCTCTTGAGAGGCGCAGTATTTATAATGTCAGGAATAGTCCATTATTATTATGGGTAAGTTCCCATAGCAACAAGTGAGCTCATTGGGTGTTGAGCAAACAGAAATGCGCCTGAGCAAGCGTCTGCAATAGGGATTGGCTAACCGCCCCAAAAGACGGGTATCTTGAATACGAGTGGCCAGCTATTATGTGTATATATGTATATTTATTAATATAAAGCCACAAATTAAAATTTCGATTAATAATATTTTAAATTCATGTTCCGTCATATTATTTGTTGATATACCTAATATGTAATCGGTTCCTACTAGTTTTATTAATTTTTTACGCAAATCTTATTTATTTTACCTGATTCGGGCAGAGGATTAAAGAGTTAATGGACTAATATGAGAATTAGGAGAAAAAAGGGAAACAAAAGTGAATCCAGTAGTTGAAGCGGGGGGGTATTAGTCTTGCGGTTATTCGTTATTTTTTAATGGTCTTTTGTTATTTATGTTTTTATTAGTAATTGATATACAATTTTTATTTTATAAGCCATACAATACAATCACTTATAATAACTTTTTCTTTTAATACTTTAATACTATTAGTATCCAAACATTAGTTGTAATTATTTATGGGTAAGATACATTCACGTAATAACAAGATTAGTGAGATTTGAATATAGTTTCATATTATTGAACATAAGTTAGAAAAAAAGAGGAAAAGTCAACTAAAATTCCGTTGGAAATTGAAATTATGTCAGAGTCTCGTGAAGCATGGCGTGTCTACTCGGGATCCAAAAGCTAATGAATTGATTTTACCGGTGTTGTTAATAATAACAATAGTAAATATATATATATATATATATATATATATATATATATATATATATATATATATATATATAGCAGGAAGAAACCTGGCCTCCTGAACGTGATGGTCCACCATGGTATGGATAAGGTCGTGCGGCCACGAACCAGCCCCCACGTATGGGTAAATTCGAAGTAACTATACCTTTATTTTCTTGTTTTCGAATTCATGACTAATTTTTACTTATTAAAATTTAATGTGCATCCTAAAGTTTGAGCTAATCTAAAAGTGCGCCCTAAAGTTTTAGTTATTAGAAAAAAGAGGAAAAGTCAAAGAAAATTCCGTTGGAAATTGAAGTTATGTCGGAGTCTCATGAATCATGTCGTGTCTACTTGTGATCCAGATGTTTATGAATAAAGATTTTAGCGGTGTTGTTAATAAAAGCAATATATATATAACAGAACGAGGACTGGCCCCGTGAACCAGCATCCACGTATGGGTAAATACGAACTAACCTTAATGTTGACACAACGAAAAGTATTGCTAAACCGCATCGACTGTCACGCGATTCAACAAGGACCGTGATCCCCAGTGAGGAACGAGACTGAGATCGAACATATGCAAATGAAACAAACTCTACCTAACAAGAACTAAAGGAAAACCACACCGATGACAGTCCTCCCAGAGGTCCTCTACATTCTTTAAAAGAAAATCTCAGAAAAACATCAATAAATATATGGTTTAGGGAAGAATATATTGAAGTAATGATAGCATTTTACACGGCTACGATAAATCCGACAACAACAGCGAGAAAAACAACCCTAAAACTGACTAAATATCGATGCCGATAAACTAGCGAATGTCGGACGTAACATCATCGGGATAAAAAAATTACCTGACAAACATCAAATATAGATTAAAAAGTAAAAATAAAAACCGAAATGAATAAACTCCGAGGACAATTGTTACTTCTAAATGAAAGAAACAAACAAAAACGAGAAAACTGAAAAAAGAATACCTGAAATAGAACTCGAAAGCATCCGAGAAAACATCATAAATAGATTAAACATCGAGGGGCTAAATTCCAACAACCCAGAGGAGACAGGCGGACGAACAAATAGAAACCAGTTGTAATAAACCCCCTGAAGCGCACAAGCGGAAGCTAATGAGGAATATGAGAGAGAAATATAAATGACAAAAATCATCCGATCTAAATGGAAGAACATAAGTGAAATGTCTTCCGAGGAAAGGTGAACAATTCCAAAAGTAAGAAAGGACCGTCAGGTGAAGGAAATCATCAACTTTGCTAACCAAGGATTTAGAAAAATAAGGGACGAAATGGAAAGACCGATGAACTTGATAGAAATAAATAAACATAAAAGAAATAAAACACTTATATACGTGGCCTTAGCAACAATCGCAGAAACAACAGGTGAAAAAGTAAAAACGAAACGTAAATGAAAAAAATGGCAATCCGGAAAGAAAAAATAGAAACTGAAATAAATAAACTAAGAAGACAATTGTCACGTCTAAATGAAGTAGACAAGGGTTCCAAAACAGAAAATCAGGGGTTATGAAAAAAGAAACAGTTTCTTATGGTAAAACGGAATACATGAAAAACTGGAAAACCTCATTAAACATAAACCATGCATATGGGTCATTAAGGTCCAGACCAATCAACACCAAAACTGGGATCTTCCAAGGAGATGCATTGTCAACACTGCCTGCTGAACAACAGTAGCCACAGATACAAGTCACAGAATGTAAACGGAATCACTTATTCTATATTGATGAT